ATTATTCAGTTGCACTAAAGGAAATTTAAGTTCTATATTTTATATTTATTTCTTTTAATTTAAATTTACTTACTCAATACAAATACTTACTCCATTACATAAAAACACAAATCTAATGTTATTTTTGTAGTAAGTAAATATTTTAAGAATGTGAACATTTGAACATGTTTTGTAATCTTACACTGAATACGCAGGAAAAAAGATAATTTTTGACATTACAAATGTTGATTATTATGTAAAAATATATACTTTTTGTAGCACTTTTAATTGGCCTATTACCCAATGGTCTCTAAAGCGGAAACTGATTAAAATCTATTTTACTATTATAAAATGTCAGACAAATGTACTTTTTGTTTAGCTAAGCAGTGATTCTGAGGTGTAGTTACAGTTCAGAATCACTGCTAACTTTGATTCTTTACTTTTAGGATTAAATAATATGACTATATGTGTATATAGACTCAATAGGAAAGCCATAGCAAATTATTATTAATGTCTCTATTTACACTTTGTGGTTAAAGGGCAGCTTAAATTATAACGTAATTTTTGATCTATTACTATTATATTTAACAGTATATCAATATAAAAAAAATGTAGTAAATAAATTAAGAAACAAATACCACCAGTCATAAAAAGGATATTGGGGCTAACTCCTGACACCGGTTATGATAATATAAATAATAATAGAATTTATTATAATGATAATAGACTTTATTATGAAATTGGTATAAGTACAATGATACACTATGATATGATCTTTATTGTAGCCGTGATAGCAGTGTCCAGGCGCTCGCCTTAAATATAATACACTCGAGACCAACGACTTTGTTAATTTTAAAAAAATGTTACGAAGATATGTGAAATCCACCAATCCGCAGTGGGGGCGCGTGGTGGACTATGCCCTAATACCCTCTGTAAAGATGAGGCTTCTGCCCAGCAGTGGGACATTTATAGGCTGTTATTTTACTTTTTTATGATATTTATGATAATTAGGTATAATTTTTGAACGCGTGGTTTGCTCGATGACGGAACGTGAACTGACTGCCTGTCGCAGTATATTTTAATACTTACTACGAAGAAAGCTGTTTGGTTCAACAGTGAATAGAACAATAATTCATTTTGCAGATTTTTTATTACTTTATTTAACAAGTTCGCAAGCGAGCAGGTGGTTTATTTCCTGCTAAGTGATTACCTTATAAAAAGTAAAGTTAATACGTCAAAAACATGGCAACACCGTTATGTCAGGGTCCACTTTATATTAAATAAGGTTTTTACGCATAAGTCGCAGGTAATGAGAATTAATATTTTCAATTATTATTCAATGTGCCTATATCTTAAAGATTAATTTTGCATACATTGGTAACTAAGCATAAACACCAGTTTCAGTGGCAGCCCTATTTGAATGGTGTAGCAGACTGGCGCTCTCATTGTTTCCCTAATTAAGGGCCGCCTCACACAGGGCGGGCAATCGCGGCATTTCAGCATTTTGCGACGGCCGAGATAGTGCTACGTGCTACGAGCGTCTACGGATTACAATTCTAACATTAATGTTGTATTATAAATCACCGGTGTGAAGTGGATTTGTAATATTTCTAAGTTTCATCTGGTGACTGATGTAGCCGGTATCTACTTTATTAAAAGGTAGCAATGCATATGCAACCCCACGGGTGTTGCAATTGTCAATGGGCGGCGTTTATAACTTAACACCGGGTGGACCGCCTGTTCGCTTTCCACCATAAAAAATAAAGGAGTATGAAATATATAATTATAAATTATAATATAAATAAAATAAAGGACCAGGTTGTCATAAAATATCTCCCATATTTCTACAGGGGAATTCTGATTTATTACCATTTCCATTATTAATAATCTTATTTAGTCCCTCCAATGTGAAGAATTTCCGTCAGAACGTAAGAAAACTAAGACACTTCCCGTATTTAAAAATGGTGATAAAACTCCAGTTAGTAATTATAGAACCATAGCAATTCTATCAATTTTGTCAAAAGTTTTAGAAGAATTAATATACCTAATTTCGTCGTAGCACATTTCACCACTTAAAGTAAATTATAAGTATGGCTTTTTTAAAAACAGATATACATGTTAAAATTTGACTGTGTATTTAGAAGATTTGATGAAATCAGTCGGTGAACAGACAAATATGGACGCAGTCTACATAGACTCCAGCAAAGCTTTATAGACGGTAGATATGTTAGCATCATAGCATCGTAATATGTTAACATCGAAGTTTTGGTGTCACTGGGCCATTGTTGAATTGGTTCCACTATATTTATTAAATCAGAACCTCACAGTGGTAGTAAGTGGCTACAACTCGACTCCATATATACTACCACTTCTATTATTTCTCAGGGATCTCACCTGAGGCCCTACTTGTTTATAATTTTTTTGAGAATGAAAAAACTTTAAGCACCCGTCTTTTAAAGTTGTAACGTAAGGTTCCCTTGATAAAATCAAATAAAACAGTCAAGAAAAAGAATTGAGAAACTGCAGGATTTATCATCACTTGGTATATGTTCGAAAATGCTCAGATTCTATCAAAAAAAGAAAGTGTTTTAGGATCATGATACTAGACAATTGTCGAAAAATGTTTGTTATAACATTTTTTTTAAAAATTGGTCATTGGGAAGCCAATGATTGTCCTGAGTACTAAGTACGCAATTTTCAATTTATTGCTCCCGTTATGCTCTAATCGTCGTACTAACTTTAGAGGTGATTTTGCTTTGTCTTGTTGCGACCCGCCCCGGCTTCGCATCGGTACAATGTATTATACAATTAAAACTTTCTCTTGAATCACTCTATCTAGCAAAAAAAAAACGGCCTCAAGGTCCGTTGCGTTGGTTTTAAAGATCTAAGCATATATAGGGAGAGACAGACACCGCGAAGACTTTGTTTTATACTATGTAGTGATCCGTATATATGCGACATGATACAATCGATTTAGGTAAAATCTAACTACAACACAAAAAAAGTTTTTTTGGATGTATAATTTGGGAAACAGTTCTATTTTTTTGTATGTTTTTCTTTTCCTTTACTCATAATTTTAATTTGTATTTAATTTTCTATACTAGATTGTTCAAGCGGTAGTCAGTTCATAACAAGTAAGTTAGAGTATTCGATTAGTTCCTTCATTATCTACGACTCGTAATAGACTTTCGTATAGCTGACGCTGCCCACTCGGCAGGTTCAGAGTATCGGAGGTTAAATTAATATTAAAAACAAGTCTCCAGTCGAATTTTATTATTAAATTTTAGCCACTCGATATGTTCCAACGTATTATATGCATTTATCATATACACTTGTATAAAGACTTGTATGTGGTGTCCCTCAAGGCGGTATTCTGTCTCCTATTTTATTTTCTGATTTTCTTAAAATTTATCACTCTCGAACTTCAATGTGCGTATCATCTTTATGCCGATGATCTGCAACTGTACGCTCAGGCCACCACTGATACGCTCCCAGAAATAATTGATACTATAAACCAGGACTTAGCTGCTATTAAAAAGTGGTCAGACAGTTTTGGTCTAAACGTCAATCCAGCCAAGTGTCAAGCCACCGTAGTTGGGAGCTCCCGTACCATAGGTAAAGTGGACCTGAGTAATCTCCCGCATATAACTTTCAACAGTTCTCGTATATCTATCAGTCATAATGTAAAAAATCTCGGCTGGCACATTGACATGACGCTCGGCTGAAATGTTCAGGTAGGAAGCGTCTGTCAAAAAGTCTCAGGGATCGTACGGTGTCTATACCGGCTCAAAAATTTCTTATCGGCTAAAACGAAGGAATTGCTCGTGCAGGCCTTAATTTTCCCTTTAATCGACTATGGTGACGTGTGCTACTTCGACCTACAATCAACTCAATAAACTCGACCGACTTCTGAATAACTGCATACGATTCGTTTTTAATCTTCGCAAGTATGACCATGTATCAACTTACCGTGTTCAACTTCAGTGGCTACCCATACGTCAACGACGCTCTCTAAGAGCACTGACTACTCTTTACACTTTCCTGAACTCTTCTTCTTTTCCGACTTACTTATCCCATCATTTTCAATATCTATGTGGTGTTAACAACAAAAACCTTCGCTCCTCGCACAATCGTTTTCTCGAATGTCCACCTCACCGTTTTGACTTCATGCATTCTTCCTTTTTATCCAGTCTATCCTTCTGTGGAATGAGCTACCTCTCAAAATCAGGTTGACTAAAAGTCGCTCTATATTTAAAAAAAACAAACAAACTTGTCGGCAGGTCAACTCCATCGTTAATTGTGAGAATTTATTTATGTATACGTATATATGTATTTATAATTGTATGTATATATGATTTTATGTATATATTTAGTGTAGATATGTATGTATTAGTATGTATTACATGCACCTGGTAGTATTTATTATATTTGTACTATAATTAACATGTGCATATACATTTATTTACAACAGTTTATCTTTTAACAGCGTTTTATTTTTATTAATTTTTTTGACATCTTCCTGTGAACCTACCGAATCTTCTCTGTACCATCCCAAGGTTACTCGGAGATAATGCCTGTGGCATTAAGTCGGCCTCTGTACAGTTTGTGCATAAAGTATAAATAAATAAATAAAAAAGACATACCGTAATAATTTAGATACAGTGCAATATGTTAAAATATTCAATGTTAAGTGTTTACCACCGTAATTAACTGAACGAAACGTAATATTTTAAATATTTTTTCATTAACTACATTACGTCGGTCTTCCGTAATGCCGTTGTACTTCCCGGGACCATCCTGTCCATTTGTGCAAAACGCAAAGTGTACCAAAGTAGAGTCAAACATAAAATGTTGAATGTGTTTTTATATTTTTTTTGTAAATATCCAGAATAACATTTGAGAACAAACATTGAAGCCATTCAATTTATCATTCTTTAAACTCACTATATTATAGAGCAAATAAATTAGAGAAAAAACAACAGTATCGATGAATATATTGTTAAATACGTTTTCAATTTCAGGTGAATCGAGGTGGGCATACGACCGCGGCGCAAATATATACTGACGATATGGTAAGTCTTTTTACTTTAAAAAATACATATTAACTAATTCGCACATTTTAAATTAAGACATCTATTCAAAAAGTCCGATATAAAGTAAAGCATATAAGTGGTGGGTAGTTTTAATTTAAAAATTCTGGATAACTCGTGTTATTACAGCGCCATCTAGTTAAAGAACGGGGAGTTACATTTGAGTTTGGGCCTTAGAGCAGTTGCATTAGTTAGACTTTAACCCTATTGATGGCGCTGTTTGAAACTATCACATTTGAGTTTTCATTGTCATTTGTATGAACAGGATGCAGTATGGCCGCGGCACATTGGCTCAACTCGCTAGGATGCCTGTCGCTGTCGCTACTATGCCTTTTCGCTACTACTCTTCAAGTTACAAGCGGTGAGTAAAACTGATATTTCACTTACATTTTTAAATCGCTTTTTAACCGACTTCAAAAAAGGAGGAGGTTCTTATTTCGTCGTAATCTTTTTATTTATGTATGCTCACCGAATAATCGAAGATGCCGGAACCGATTTGGAAAATGCTTTTTGTGTTGGTTCTTCCATGTGGTTCGCTATTAATTTTATTGTTATTGGATCAAATAGAAAATGAATAGTGAGTGAGACATTTGAAGTCGCTTTTGTTTTTGTTGTAATAAAAATTACTTGCTGTTTAAACGAACTCTATTCTCCACGTAGTAGGTAAGTGTTAATAGGTAAGATAGAATTACTGGACGTGTATTTTAATCTGCAGGAGTATAGAAAGATGAAAGTTGCATATTTTTTGAGTTTAAGTAAAAATGCTTACGTTGTAAGGTCAACCATTGATAATATTTAAGGAAACAAGAAGATCATGATAATGCGTAATAGATATTGCTTTGAAAAAGATTTTGACGTTTTTGTTTGTAAAATGAATGTATATGGCTAAGGAGTGTGACAAATAGTTATAATAACAAAAAGAAAAAAAAGTGCATTGCTGTGATTTCTATTAATATGTTTATATGCGGTGTGTTATTGTGTTTTTACAATACAATTTTTATACAACACAGTAAAATACAAATTAAAATTGAATAAAAACATATAACGAAGTAGCTCACTTATATTTAAATATATCGTTTTAATGTTAAGGTAGTTTATATAAAGGGAAAGAAGTATATGCAATACAAATAATAAATAACACGCTTATGTCGGTTCTTGTAGCAATACAAAAAACCCGTTACTTTAGAGAGAAGAACAGAAGAAATATTATTACTCTCGCAAAGCTTGCAATAATTTCGCTTCTATAGTATTACCAGCCTAGGGCTCAGTTTCTAACGGTCGAAGTAATTTAAACGCTATCCGAGATAATAAGCGGACGCTCCCCTCCACAGTCCCCACGCTAAAAGCAGCTATTAAGAACTCTACTTAAGTAGCCCTAAACAACTTCGAGGTGCTCGAGAATGGAATATTAAGCGATACCTCCTTGTTCTCCTTTGCTATTGAATTTAAAGCCACCGTATTCTACCATTTGGAGTGAAGTTTTGGTAAAATTGTAACTTTCTGGACACGTTAAATTCTGTGGTAGGAACACGCAACAGTGTTTGTGATGCACAAATGGGGAGGCTCTTCCGAGAATGTACCACGGCCTGACAGAAGGCCGGCGTGAAGTGGAAGTGTTAACTTTCGCGTTTCGTCTGGTGAATGAGGTAATCGGGGCCCACATTTTTAAAAGTTGTCAAAGCCTTCGGGTTTTGTAGATGTCCATGGGCGGCGGTATTCATTTAATACGTTTTTTGTATAGAAATTTATGTCGATTCTGTCTGGAACTTGTAAAATTTTATGCCTAGCCAGTTATAGTTCTTTAAGAGTTGGAACTTGGCCGTTTTATGTGAAGGAAAGATAGAGGAATTCCTTTTCACATGCACCCGCTTGCGTACGGTCGTTTCGTACCTTTTTATGATCTTTATACGCATCTTGTAACATTGCATGTACTTTGATACCTTTCTAGTTTATCTCTCAAGAACGTTAGAATAAGAAACGTAGGTACGAACAACTAGAGGCTCGTTACATAATCATGAATGAACTTGTTGCAATCGTTTTAGTGTTAACTGTGGTAAGGCCACACAATAGTCTTCTTTGTTGCACGAATGGGCAGATCCATCTGAGTAAGTACCACGGCTTCACAGAAGTCCCGCGTGAAGAGGAAGCGTTATACCTTTTCTGACTTTCATCTGGTGAGTGTGGTACCCGGGGGCCTTTTTATTAAAAGTATAGTTAAAATACTCCGGGTGTTGCAAATGTCCATGGGTGGCGGTTATAACTTAACATCAGGTGAACCGCCGGTTCACTTGCCAGCTTCTGACATATAAAAGTATTACAAAAGTGTGGCAACAAAAAGTGTTAAGATTATGATATATATATATATATATATATATATATATATATATATATATATATATATGATATTAGCCTCTGCCACGATTAGAATAGACAATGTTGTAAGTTAGCAAGTATACTTTTTTAATATTTATATCTCAAAGTAATTATAGTGTTAATTTTTCGAAAGCAAATATTTATTTTAAGAATCCATTCTAGTTTACTATTATAACGACACTCGTCCCTCAGATCTTTTATAAGTTATAGGACCAAATATAATTAGGCAATATTCGCTTGATTTATTTGAACCTGTTTATTTTAACCTTATTGCGTGTATCACATAAAAAAAAAACTCGCTCCTCGATGGATGTAGGTTCCTACTTATAATAGATTGGCGTAACGTCATTTTATATCGAGTATATTGCCTCCTTCTTCGCTAACCTGCACTATTAATAAAAGTGCTCGTTTAAAGCTACGAGTATGTATTGTACATGTGGAAGTGGATTGCTATTTGTTGGCAAGTATGAAAGATACAATTCCCGTTACGTGTGACTTCACAACGGGAGCAGGTGTATGGTAACAACTGGGTCAAAAGGAAAGGGTACACTAAATACTCTTAATAACTGCGGTAAGTAGTAGCGAGCGCTCAGTTAATGATTCTCAGCGCGAAGACCACTCTATTTTTGTATGTCCTTCATGTAAGGGATAAGTGGGGTCTGTATCGTGTGTTAATGTTACATCCAGAAAAATATTGATCTCTTTAGGTGACGAGTTGATTTTAATAACTCGTTATTTACATAGGTTTTTGTAATTGCATAGTTACATGTTGAATCGAGATAAAGACCTTGTAATCGGGACGGTGCGGATCAGATTTAAATTTTCGCGTTTCTTCCTTGCAAAAATTTCATTATATTAGTACCAGTTATTTGACGAAGTAATGGAGGCGTAGTTACTGCCACTAAATCCTATTAACAAACACGAATGATTTAGGCAGTCTTAACTTATTAATTGAAAAAAATACTATCTCATAGTTGTGTTATAAGGCGTTGTGTTTATGGGTATTCTGTCCCTTAGTATCCCAAAGAGAGAGAGAGAGAGAGAGAGAGTAGATATTTCAATCTAAATAGGTCAAGTGTAAAAGTAAGAGCCTTGTAATTTCCATCACATTGCGTAGGCTTACACATTCGCGATAAGGTCAATTTTGTAGAACATCCTTTAGTTGAACCGTTATAGCTCAGAGTCGCTTTTAATTCGATATACTTAAGCAACCTGATCCCGGTGCCAACACCAATGAAATTGTCAATTTTAGGTGTCGACTAACTACGTGTTCAGCGGTGATGGTGAAAATCTTTTATTTTTAATGTGAAAAGTTGCCAAGCGAGCAGATGGTTCACCTGATGTTAAGAGAATACCGCCGCCCATGGACATCTGCTACACCCGAGGGTTGCAGATGCGTTGACAACCTTTTAAAAATTGGGCTCCGGCCACCTCACTCACCAGACGAAACGCGAAGGTATTTCTGGTTACCAGAAAGATCCGGTAAATCTTGAGGAAACCAGCATATATAACAATATAATAACAAAAAATATTTCGAAGCTATCGTTTTGCTAATCGGCAGTGGGGTCGCGTAGTGAAATATTGCCTAATACCCTATGTACAGAGGAGTTGTGGGCAAAAGCCAGTGGGATTTGTATAGGTTGTCACTTTATTTTTTAATTTGAACGAAGGCAGGACTGTATATATTTACATTATTTATTATTTAGTTCATTTATGTTAAACTGACAATAGATGGCACTATTATACATTCTTTATAAGAAATTAATCAATAATATTTTTGTGAAAAATTCTTCATTAATACACCGGTATTAATGAAGAATTTTTACCGAATGTTTACCGAAACATTAGCTCAAAATGCCGTTTGAATCATTAAATGAATCAAACGGCATTTGAGGAAGAATTGTGGAAGTTATGGTGAACCGATTTAAAGCCCCTTTGACAAATTATATATAGAGATAAGCGACGCGTACAACTTGAGGCTATCAAATACTAGTACAAGGTACATAATAAGACTCAACTTTCTCTTATTAACAAACATAAGCCAACAGCTTGATATGTCGTTAAAGTTCTAATATAGTTGTGTGAAACCTGGATAAGTTCCTCAAAAGAAATTCCTCGACGCTGGCTCGCTATAGCTATCGTCCTCGGGGACTGTATCCTTCGGGACGAATACATCCGTCTCTTACTGACACGGGCGGAAAGGGGACCTTCTCTCTCCCCCCGGGAGCGGAGCGATCGATAGGATTTCCGATTCTGAATTGAAGAAAGGAGCCGCTCTACTGAACAGATATCGGGTCGTAAAACCTACGAATCGATTCACTTTGCATTAGGTTTACCATTTGGGGAAGAAAAAATGTATAATGGAAAATGTTTCTAGTCTTAAATCAGTGTATAAAAGTCTTAAAATTTTATCGTAAAAATTAGTTACAAGTTACATTAATGGTTTAATTATTAGTTAGGTTACGCGGATAAATAGTACCGGAATGAGTATTTTAGGGAAAGCTTAAAAATCACAGAACAAAATCGAGAAGGTAATTAGTAAAAAGGTTGACATGGTACTCATTATGAGAAGGTAAGAAAGTCGTGTGATTAGAATAGTGTTCTTTATGAATGTGGTGGCTAGAGGGAGACAGAGAAAGGTTTTGATGGATTGTGTGAAGAATGATGTGAAAGAGGTGAGTATTGAGATGACGGCTAATAGAAGAAAGTGGAACGACATGTAGCGCCGATCCCATCTTGTGTGGGACAAGGTCGGAGATAGAAGAAGACGGTTAGGTTACGCGAAGTTAAAATAAACAAGACTCTGTTAAAGAGCCATCTCTCGCGCCGTGCGGTCATCGGCCACTTAGTTTAGTTGCGTCTGTTAGTTCTACTTTGTTTTATCGAGCTAAGAAGGTAGAAATATAAATACTTTTACCAAATCACCGT